AGTTTTCTCAAATATCGTAAAAAGCATTAGATAACGTGAAATAAAACGGCACGAGGTGTTCGCGATGTTTTTTAACGACCAAATTAGAAAACAATCAACGCGTCGTCTACTGCATTACACGCACAAAGCTTCACTCACGATAAAGGTTTTTGTAGTATTTTGAAATATTTAATTAAGTATTTGAAGACCCTAGAGGCCTAAAATATAAAACTATGATCGATATTATTATATCGATGTTATGACCAAGGTTACGTTGTCTGTTTACGTAATTGTGATGATCTATGTATCAGCCTTTATCTATATCTGTACTAATATTATAAACAGGAAAGATTTGTATTTTTGTATTTGTGTAAGTATTGAAATAACTCAAAAACTACTGGGTCGATTTTAAAATTTCTTTCACCATAAGAAAGGTTACTTATCTGTAAGTAACATAAGCTATATTTTTTCTTATTTTTAAATTTCACGCGGGCGAAGTCGCAAGCAACAACTAGTAAATTATAAAGTGATTGAATTGCATGCCAGATAAGATTATATTTAGTTAAATAATTAAAAAAGAGAACATTAGAATTAGTACTAATGTTAATAGTAGTATGGGGGACTATAGTACTCCTTACCGGTACACACGGTACCTATATGTTGGGCTGTTAGCGGATGAGGATATTGAGAGGCATTTATCACGGGAGCTCGCTGCAATATCACGCCGACTTGTTTCGACAAATAATACGCTTGTTCTTTCGCTACACGTCTACTTTATACCGTGTGGTACAAGTTATAAACTTGGTACCACATTAAAATACTAAATTACACACGTTAGTATTATTCAAAAATGTTCAAAAGTTTTCATAACACATTAAACATTCACTATGTTAGGATTATTTAAACTGGTATTTGACATAAGTTGATTATCGTATAAATTATGTGTTTAAAAATTTTAATGACAGAGAGATGTGTCACAGGTATGCGAGGACGACTCTCATATATAACTCTTTAGTACCTACCACCGCCCTAGTCAAGGTAAAAACGATGGCACCGTAGAAATCTTGCACAGGGCTCAAATAGATCTAGAACAGGCTCTATGTCCTATGATGACAGTAGTTAATAATTTCTTATACCACTAAACCCGCCTCCTCTTGTGCCTCAGGCGCGGTACTTCACGTCCGCGCCATACATCACTCGCACCTGTAATATTAACGCGCACTATCGCCACCAGATGTCGCGCATGAACACGTCTCTCCTGTTTTTTAGACAAGCCCTTCCGTGAGGTTGTTTTTACAATAAAATGGTTTTTGAATTCGACACTGAATGTACAATGTTTTAAATTAAAACCCAAACATGAATATTTAACATAATGTACCTGTTTCTTTAAATACATAATTCATAAAATATTCAAATTATAGTAACAAATGTAGAAGATTATAGAACACTGATAAAGTTCATGGTGATATAGTCGAACATACGGACATTTATGAGGACATCCGTTTTCTGAAACCATGTAATTTGATAGTCTTCAATTACCTCGTGGATTACGATCTAATAAGATTCGTAGACCGAGTATTTTTAGTTTACAAAGTAACCTACAGTGAGAGTTTCAACTACTGCACATCTACGCACCTTATTGAGCATTAATAGAACAAATTTAAACAACAATAAAACAAGTATTATTAATAACGAATAACTTATATTAAATCATCACTCTATATACAAGCGACTGTGTTGGTGGTCAGTCGGCAGTGAGGCTGGTGTTAGCTGCGAGCTGGGAGGCGCTGAGGCGCTAATACGTGCAAGGGTCATCAGGTTTAGGGGATGTGGGCGCCCTGGGGCTGGAAGCCGAGTTCATTGGCGATGTAGGTGATGGTGTAGGTGACACCGTCGTCGCCGATGTAGGAGTACTGGCCGCGGACCTCGATGGCCTCGCCTTCGGTACCCAGGTTCTTCAGCTGACCTTCGGCGGACACTGACTTGCCGTCGCTTGTCTGGAAACTGAAAGACAATTTGATTAAAGACATCTGATGGAATTTGGCGGCCACAAGTCGGAACCATTGTTATATATTGTCATGTCTTGGCCATGTCATGTGCTCGTGTACTTTCGTGAACATCCCGCTCGTGTCATTGCCCAGTAGTTAATTTAAAAGAGCCAGGAATTATAAAAGTGTAACTACCTGAAGGCGAAGGGACCGGTTCCGATGTTATCGAAGTTCTGGGATGTGGTCTCCGCTCCCTTGGGGTCGACAGGCAGGGCGGCCGCCGCGCACACCAGCAGAGCAATTGCGATCACCTGCACAGAACACACATATTAAGATGAAAATAATAATATTGTGAAAGAAAGTAATGAAAGCTGGTATTAATTAAAAATGTAATTAAACTATAACGACGATATCTTTGGCCGGGTCGCAAAGGAAATCGAGTGGTTATTAACTTACGGATTTCATTTTGAGATGAGTGTTGTGTGTGTGGTACGAGAGGATGAGGCTAGAGACTGTGGCCGGTATACAAATGGCACACACTTATATACTTACACGACGCCGCGCCGCGCCAGCACAGCCCACTTTGCATACATTTGAATTCCGGCAGAAGCTGCATGAACTTTACAACGTTTCACTCGTACATTTTTCCTTTATAACATACGAGTATATGTTCTATGCTGGAACCGTAACTTTTTGTAGGGTCTCAATATACGCACAGCTTGAGTCCATTTGTTAAAGATCATATAATGAAGTTAATTCTACTCCGCCGTATAAATAACAAGTGAAATACAACTAATTATTACTTCGGCTGTCTCGCGTTCACGGCGAGAAGACAAAGCACGTAAGTAACACCTCCGTCGCGTCAAAGCTTTGAAGTCTGATGTAATCAAGCTCTCCGCGCTGCGCTTATCTCGCGAAGGTGCAACGGAAGGATGCTCCACGTTTTGTCTTAAACAGACATGGAATATTTCCTGTCTGTTTCAATAATATTGGGGCGAAAACTTGTAATACATAGTGATAAATTATGGAACTTTCGGTTCTATTTTGCTGATATACACTAAACCTTTTTTTAATAAAAATAAACAATCGATTTTATTAATGTTGCTAGTGTGATATAATAAAAAATTCTTTCGTACAATATAGAGCAATAAATTAACTATCTCCTATCAGGTCGGCGAACACATCATGTTATGTAAATGTGTTTTATGTAAACGAGTATCCTTTGAATTGATTATAAATATATTTTTTTCTAAATTTAAATTATAGCATTGAAGCTTTACATCGACATTGACTAGCTTGTTTTCTGAACATGTTCTTTCGACGATAAATTTCTAAATACTACGATGTATTTTAAAGAAGTAGCATTTTAAGAGAAAACCCTTGTACCGTTTCGTCCTTTCCCATCTTACTAAGATTATAAATGTGAAAGTTTAGATGGATGGATCGATGGATGTTTGTAAGAGTTTGTAGCCTAAACGGCTGAACGGATTTCGATGAAATTTGGTATAGATGTAGAATATAGTCTGGAAGAACATATGGGCTATCCACTTTTATTTTTCCAATGCCACCCGGACGGAGTCGCGGGCGAAAGCTAGTTTATAATAAACTTACAGAAAGTTTTTCATGTAAAATATTTTAATAGACCAAACAAACTTACGGAGTAAAATTTGATGTCTATTATAACGCTTCATACTAAGGGGTTATTATTTTAACATCTACTTATGCATTACATCAGAGTAATTTGTACATCAAATGAAACATACTTAATATTTCTGCAGGTAGAGCAACATTCAGTGCAGCGACGTAGTGAACTATTTACCACAATGGAACTCCTTTTTTCGGTCCTTTGTGGCATCTCCTTTGATTAACTTTGATCTAGGTGAGTGCGGCGGCCGCCGATAGCTCGCCCTCCCCCTCTGGCTCCCAGCAGTCGCTAATGGATTGTTACGGGCTAAGACTTCGCTTTGATACTCACCTGAACGATTATGTCTAATCTTTGTTTTAGAGAATTCTTAGTGAACCCTTGATACCGTACGTGTGTACTCTTGGCTTTCTTGAAAGTGAATACTTACTTAATAGTAATCTAGATATTATAAGTCTCAAAAAAGTATTGTTTTACAGTATTATGGAGCGAAGAGGAACAGTTATGTTTCTTCAACAACATTATAACACAGGCCCGTAACCCAGAATAGTAGACAGAGACCTTTTGACCAGAGATTTAGCTTTCGTTTTCCTCTGTGAGTTATTTGCATATTTTCGTGTTGCAGTAATAGAAACGTATTAAATACTAATTAAAAAACGTGTAAAATGTAATTCCTCAAAACCTCGGTATTCGTTAAATGTTATTGTCAGATCACAATGTCCCTAAATGTGAATTGGCAGACGTTGTATTAATGGCCTTGTGCAAACTATCTTTTGGCAGACTTGTAATACACTGTGATTATATTATAAAAAGCCTTTTATTATTTAATTTGATGATAATGCCAAGACGTTTAAATTACACGAAAAAATCTATTTGAATAGAGCAGCAAACATTTGAATAAGAAATGAAATAAATCTGCAGCGATAACTAAAATTTTATACAAAATTCGTGTTTATTTTTATTTAAATGTCATTGAATGTTCATCAATGACCACAGGAATATTTATGACTTGATGTTTTAAATGTCAACATTATCTACTGATTCGTCATCACCTACAGAGATAAAAATAGTTTGGTCCCAACATGACATTATTTCCCTCAATAACTTTTTTTACAACTTTAATTTCCGATTCGTTAGTCCGGTTATCGTTGCTTATTATTCCGGCGTATCCCATAAAGCTACAAGTATTAATTAGGTAATTTCACCTGCAATAACTGAGTAAGTTAACTTACAGGGATATTGAAGATATAATCTTTTATCAAATTCCTTTTAATTTGTCCAACTTTCGCTCGATTGGCCAGCGGCGGCTTTGACGAAGCCAACACGGTATAGATAATGTAGGCATTTACACGGCAGCTTACAACACGATTTAAACAAGAATAAAACAAGTATTATTAATAACGAATAACTTATATTAAATCATCACTCTATATACAAGCGACTGTGTTGGTGGTCAGTCGGCAGTGAGGCTGGTGTTAGCTGCGAGCTGGGAGGCGCTGAGGCGCTAATACGTGCAAGGGTCGTCAGGTTTAGGGGATGTGGGCGCCCTGGGGCTGGAAGCCGAGTTCATTGGCGATGTAGGTGATGGTGTAGGTGACACCGTCGTCGCCGATGTAGGAGTACTGGCCGCGGACCTCGATGGCCTCGCCTTCGGTACCCAGGTTCTTCAGCTGACCTTCGGCGGACACTGACTTGCCGTCGCTTGTCTGGAAACTGAAAGACAATTTGATTAAAGACATCAGGTGGAATTTGGTGGCGACAAGTCGCAACCGTTGTTATGTATTGTCATGTCTTGGCCACTCCATGTCATGTGGTCGTGTACATTCGTGAACATCCCGCTTGTGCCATTGCCTAGTAGTTAATTTAAAAGAGCCAGGAATTATAAAAGTGTCACTACCTGAAGGCGAAGGGGCCGGTTCCGATGTTATCGAAGTTCTGGGATGTGGTCTCCGCTCCCTTGGGGTCGACAGGCAGGGCGGCCGCCGCGCACACCAGCAGAGCAATTGCGATCACCTGCACAAAACACACATATTAAGAAGAAAATAATAATATTGTGAAAGAAAGTAATGAAAGCTGGTATTAATTAAAAATGTAATTAAACTATAACGACGATATCTTTGGTCGGGTCGCAAAGGAAATCGAGTGGTTATTAACTTACGGATTTCATTTTGAGATGAGTGTTGTGTGTGTGGTACGAGAGGATGAGGCTAGAGACTGTGGCCGGTATACAAATGGCACACACTTATATACTTACACGGCGCCGCGTCGCGCCAGCACAGCCCACTTTGCATACATTTGAATGCCGGCAAAAGCTGCATGAACTTGTACATTTTCAATATGAAATCCAGAAAATATAACTAAGAAGAATTACTAAGAAGAACTCTTTCTTCAGCGCCGATCTGAAAATTTATTTAGCCTTATATCTATAACTTGATTTGACTGAATGTCTACTAATGTAATAAAACACTATTTGTTCAAGTCACCCTTCATTTACAGTTATTTAACTGGGTATTACCGCCGAAGTATTGAGCGGAGAATTGTCAATAATTATGTTCATAACTTTCATTTTTCCATCCATCCACTGCTTAGATTTTACTTTTTGTATCTCTCCTTTGTCTTCTTATTTTATTTTTCCTCTTAGTATTTAAGTTATAAATGTATCGTGTTCGTCGCAATTATTCTGTTGCCAAATTTGAAAGAATTACCCAAATCATTGAGTACGGAACCAAATAATTTTCAATTCTAAATTGTCAATGTGTATCTACACAAGTCAAGGGATGTTACAAAGTTAAACGACATACATTTCGTATCTTAGATAATTACCGAATTTTAGAATGGTTTAACCCGTAATTTCAGCTTTGATTCACAAATCTTTTGAGTGTATTTATGTAATAGATGTGGCGTCATAGAATGTAATATGACCTTGGCATTCGCTTTCCTCGTCGACATTAGCGACGAGTTCGTTGGAATACATTACCAAAGTCACTTTAGCGGCGATCTAAACCGGCTTCCTGTGCCTCTGAAGACTGACCGTGTCATATGAACTAATTTTGAGGTTATTTTTCCATATTATCAATCATTAACAAAGCGTCTTATTATCCTTTTTTAATTATATTTTCATTGCTTAGATCAGGTGTGGTTCCCGGTTCTTTTTTGTTTTTTTTTCTTTATAATTGAACTCCAAGATAAAGTTGCAGGTTGTAGTTTATATTTAGTTTTCATTATGACGAAATACTAAATTGTCATTAGTATTTCAAAATTAAAATGTTTTATTTAGCATTGTTGTGTCTCTTTTACTGTTTTATTTTCCACTTTTTATTCTGTAATTAATAAACGTATTTGTACTTTATAAAGATACTCTGAGAAAAGATGCATAACGGGTTTGTGTGTAGTCAAGCGGATGGCTAGCGGTATCTTATAATATGAATAAAAAAACTAGAAACAAATTGTACATTTTTGTATTATTATGAATTTCATATTAAAATATTTATAAAATACCACATGCAGTAACTATTAGTCCAGGTAGAAGATTTTTTACACATGTTCGATAAATAATTAATTCCCGAATTAATATCGAATATTCTGAATATATAAAGGATAATTTTCAACTTCCTTTATTGCAATTTTATTATAATTTTATTGTACTCGTATAGTAATGTTTTATTGGAAATAACATTTTATTGAAGTATCGTGTTTGCCTTGTTACGATCTCTGCATTCAAACATAAGCCTTACTGTTTGTTTTAGTAAAATCAATATAGAAAAAAAACTAGTTATTAACACAAATGTGTTATTTAAAGTACTCTCTCATATTTAATATTTGCAACAATTTTATCTTTCATTCATCAAACTTTTTTTTCACGCTGGCGAGCGCACGGAGCTTCGTAAGCACATCTCGGCTGCTAAGTGTGTCAATGTAAATTAATTTGAAGTTAAGGCTGCGTTCACATTGTAATATATTAAAATCTTGAATCCGGGTCATAAAGGACTAAATTTTATATATTTCGTTGTGTAAACGTTGAATTTTAAAAGGTTATAATAATTCTTTCTCCTGTACGTTCCTGTTAATATCTAGGATATTTGACTAGTTTTTTAATACATTTTATTTAAACTTAACGATACAATACCTTCTTTAATAACTATTATCTTACTAATATTATAAATGTGAATATTTACATGAATATTTCTTACTTGGTATCCCCATAATTAATGGTAGTAGAACATAGTTGGAAGAAAAAACATGCTAGCAATCGAAAAAAATATAGACAGATTTTTTATCTCTTATTAATAGTTTGGCTAACGAAATACCACTGATATTAGATACTGATAAATTAGTTGAATTTATATTGTAATATTCCAAGAATTACTAAAAATAACTTAAATGTCTAGCTAGTGTGTAATGACCCTTAGCAAGTTAAGATATTACTGCATGCTTACACAACAAGGTGAAGGTCGGCCGCGGCGGGTCACTCTCACAAATGTTAAACTTCGATCTTACCACAAAGCCTCTCCATCTGACTGATTATTTTATTATCATCATTTTTAAAGCCTATACCATCTTCTCCCTTATCCTGCTCCTGTAAGGTCGGCACAACAGGTTTTTATCCTCCACGTAAGTCATCTCAAACATAATCATATCACTTTTAATGCAATCCGTCCATCTCTTTCTATGTCTACCTCTATCGGTGTACATCGACAACTAAACTCAAGTTCTTCTTCAACACTCGAAGCCTACGTGATTATTAAAAAGTTCTAAGAAAACAAAATTCCTGCCACAGTTAGGGTTCGACGTTTTAAAAGAATCTTAAACATATAGTTGCATATAATTCAAGTTTTATTCATTGCCTCTGATACATTGTATTGTGATTCTAAAAAAATAAAATTGCACTCTTATCGAAATAAAGTATTCGTTTAAGGGAAGTATATTTTTTTTTATTTGATAAGGTGGCAAACGAGCAAGCGGCCACATGAATCCGCCGAATGGCGAAGCGACCGTTGCCCATAGACATTCGCAATAGCAGATGCGTTGCCTACCTTTAATCGACGAAGGAGAAGACGCACATGAACAGGATATACATATCCCCTTCCTATGCATCTCCTCCACCGTCAAAGCCACGTTCCCTTCCCATTCTTTTCTTATAAGAAAAAGTGTGGGAAAGAAAAGAGACTAACGTTGGGCTTCCGGCACAAAACGTAATTTTTCTGGTTCTAGAAACTGAAGCCTTCGTCTGCATTATTTCTGTTTTTATCGCGACTCGCTTTAAAATTCGATCGATTCCTGATGAACTTCCAACTAATTAATCTACAACAATCAATAATCTCAAGGTCGATTGTAAATGTCAACAGAATTAGAGGATGGCATCAGAAACTGGTTCATCATTAAAAACGTCGACTTAATTTCATATTTTTTTTTCATTTGATCTTTACTCACCACTTCATCAATGTAATTAATTTTATTTTTAAGGAATATAAGGTGTTCCATTTTCTATTGGTTTTAAACGATTACTAAATGTTGGTTTTCCTAAACAGAACTCTGAATCTCTAAATACTGAATTATAATTTTCACGCTTAATCTTTTTTTTTTATAACATAAGGTGGCCGACGAGCAAGCGGCCACCGGAATTCAACAAAATGGCGAAGCGACCGCGGCCCATAGACATCCGCAATTGCAGATGCGTTATCCGACGGAGGAGGAGACGCACATAAAGCGGATATTGCCCCTTCCTATGCATCTCCTCCACCGTTAAATCCACTTCCCCTTCTTATCCTCTCCTTATAAGAAAAGGGTGGTAAAGAGAAAGGGACTTAAATTAGGCCTCCGGCTCCACACTCATCATACGAAACACGGAATTACTTCCACTTCACGCCTGCCTTCTGTGTGATCGTGGTATTACACCGGGCGTGCCGGCACTGTATTGCTAAGATGTTAAAGCGGGCACTACCACTGTTAAAATCTTTTCTGTTATAGCAACAAAGGTCTCATATTCTTACCATAGCCCATTTTACTCAGCGTTAGTGTAGATGATGGAGAAAGTTGAAATCGGTTCAGTATTTACGTAGCCATTTAATCAAATCAACTTAATCCACTTTATAATCTTACTAATATTATAAATACGTAAGTTTAAAGAAATTTGGTAGCTTAAATAGTTGAACAGATCTCAATGAAAATTACCACACATATAGAGCAAAATTAGAAAGAACACGAAGGCTACTGGCTTTTGTTTTTTTTTAAATTTCACTCGGTCGTAGTCGCGGGCGATAGCTAATAGATAATAAAAATGTATATGGCTACCAACATTTAGAATAAATATGTTAAACATCTAGGTAATTACAACTTCATCTATACTATTATAATAAAGGGGAAACACACACTTCTTTGTTGCCTAAGATGTCAGCAATTACAGCATATTTCTAATAACTCTTTCTTTAATAAAAAGCCCTACACTTACGTCACGCTTTAGCCTTTATATTTTCACGCCATTAACTTAAGGGGTAAATATTTTGGATAAAAACCAAGGAAGCAAGATTGCCAAGGTTTGTAATGTCATGTCATTTTGACATTTGCTATTGATAATTTGACAAATGTAAACAATAAAATAAAATTTTCATGATTTCATGAGGATGAAGCCGCACGGGAACAGCTACTTAATTTATATTAACACTATTTAATACAATAAGGATTAATTATATTTTTAAATCCTACTAACAAGTGACGTACTTTTTTTCGTTAACAGCTTAACAGTTTGTTGAACCGTTTTCTATTTTAATCTGTGAATTGTAATTTTTTAACAAACATCCTATTTAAGAAACAAAACACGACTCGATCACGGAGACTCCCAAGAATTTATAGCAGGTAAACCATAAAATGTTAAAATAACGTTTTTATTAATCGTAATACCAGACAACAAGATGTTCAGATCAGTTTTCCAAATTATACATGCTTAGCTTTCAACAGCAAATGGTTTAATGGAATTTCGAGGCAGAGGGGTATTATGTGGTGGGTAAAAGTGTCAATACTAGTCATGCAAGTAATCAGATAGTACTTAATGATTGTATTAGTGTTTAGTGTTATAAAAATATTAAATTCTAGCAAAAGCTAGTCGAAGTCACGTCGTCTGCGTGAAAAAAAAAAACAAAAACAGCCTATACAGTCTTCTAGACTATCTTCTACATCTATACCAATTTCCATCGAAATCCGTTTAGCCATTTAGGCTACAAACTCTAACAAACATCCATCCATCTTAACTTTCGCATTTATAATATTAGTATCATTGTATATTAACAAAAGTGGTATTTCCACATCGATGATGTAAAAACCCAAAGTTTTCCTCCGAAATTAATTCACATTTAGGATTCCAAGGATAACTGCCATCATCTTTATAATGATATTGGATGCCAGGCGACTTGTAAATAAGTTTAGAGGTTAATGTGTCTTTAAATTATCATATTTAAATGTACTTTTGTACCGGTTCACATCTTTATAAACAAATTATATCCCTCGTAGGCTCCAGATCACGTTGGAGTAGAACGAATTGATAAAATCTTATCCAAATTTTAAAAGTGAATTGAATCGTAAATTAGTATGTTTATGGATTGACCTTTTGTTTGAATTAGGAAATTATAAATTCTCATATTTTTAAAGTTTTGTTGTGCTGTTAGTATTTCTTCAAGGTTCTCCAAATGTGTTGTTTGATTACAACATTTCGACCGGAGGCGATCGAGACACAAAACAAATTGAAACACATGCGATAAATTATGGTAACTTCTTTATTAACATTAATTGTATGTTATTTGTATCACAGAATCGCTCTATACGATTTGTCTAAAGTACTATAGGGAAGGAATCGGGAATTTGAGTATTTTTGGACTAGATAATAATTTATATAAGAGCTATTTATTGTGCTTGGGGAATGTGGGCGCCCTGGGCCTGGAAACCGAGCTCGTTGGCGGTGTAGGTGACGCTGTAAACAACGCCGTCGGTACCGGTATAAGAGAACTGGCCCTGCACTTCCAGAGCTTCGTTCTCGGTGCCCACGTTCTTGAGCTGACCCTGCTCTCTCTGGGAGATACCGTTCGAAGTTTGGAACCTGTTAAAGTAAATTAAGATTATATTTTAGCTCCTTTAGTAAATCAACATTTTAGTTGTACATTGAAATATGTTTGAAAAGGCAACTCACTCATAGCCGTAAGGACCGACGCCGATGTTGTCGTTATTTTGGACGATGATTTGGGCATCGCCATCGATGGTGGTGGGTGCGGCCATGGCGGCGGCGACGAACAGAGCGGCGACAATGAACTGCACACAACATTAACTTTTAAAAAGAAAGTAAAGAATTGTGAAAAGTCAGATAATAGAAATTTTCCCTAGTAGATTAAATTATTATTAGGTTAAATATTTGATGTGTTCACTGTTGAAATTGATTCCGCATCGGGTAGTGCGCAATCCATCGCGAATCACGGCAACGTACCAGTTTCATTTTGGTGAGTTACTTGTTTTGTTTGCGAGTGATGTGAAGGCAGCTGGCAGACTGACGATGAGTTGGTGCTGCAGTGCCCATTTATAGTGCGCGGGGCACGCCGCGACCTATGCCATTTGAACCTACGCCTCAGCACGGCGGACACCGCGTGCTTGAAGACCCTTGCATCTTGGTTTAATAAAATATTTTGACAGTGTTTCTAGATTACCATTTGTGGTGCTGCGTATATTTAAGAAAGTATCTGTATTATTTTAAGAATTAATAACAATTTTTGTTTGCTAATACAGATAGGAAATAAAAATGAAGAACACTTTCTTTATTCTTGATATATTAGAACAGGTTAAAAAAGGGAAGATAGGAGAAGCGACATACTTTGTCTTTGCGAATGTATTTTAAGTAACGATTAACAGAGAGTTTTAGTATACGATTTGATACGAAATATTAATATTTATGCATATTAATATATAAACATAAGAACCCCAGTGGTATTTATTGTGTGTAACTAAACCTGTGGAGGCCAACACAGGTTAGGTGTTTTGATCAGACAAATATCTCCGTATTCTTCTTAATAATACGTACCTTTATTTTTTTTATTTAATTACAACATGATAGGTTTTCACCTATTTTTTTTTTTGCGTAGTTGGTTCCATTAAAAAAAACCTACATCTATAAAATACTCTAAAACATATTTCACTATAGTACTTTGCCTATGTAGTTTATCGGATATGTTGTATTTTCTTAGCAATTAGATAAAAAGGAACCTTTTTTTTTAAAACAATAAATATGCATAGTTTTCAAACGTGTCTTTGCGTACAAGTAATAATTCTCTTTCAATTAACTTATGTGGTTTCTTCTGCTACTTATGTACCATGTCTCAACTCTCATAATGGTCATGAAATTGTGACATTATAAGAAATAACTTCAAGGTACTCTAGTTTCGGGATAAGATTCAACATCCTACACAACCGTGATGCCTTCATGATATCACTGGTCAATCAATTTTCAACCTTAACCAAATAAAATTGAGGTCGGTTTTAGGTTTTCTATTACGTCTTATCGTTAAACTACGATTTAATGCGTGCTTCATTTAATATTCTCTTTTAAGAGATTTCCAAACAAGTTCAATAGCAGTGAATAAATTATTGTTTAGTATATACATTTTAATTTATAGCCTGTGTCGTTGATGAGCAGAACGACACAGGCTATACATGTATGTACATATGTAGATATGTATTTCTGTATGTATTATATTAATGAAGTTATTTTAAATGAAAATTTGTTTTTAAAACAAAAATTGTATTTGAAATTCATAAAACTAAGAAGTTTGTGTTTTATTTTGAATAACGAATATAAAAATTCACTAATTTGGATTATTTATTTTTATACTAAGATATATTAAAACTATTTCCCAATTTTTGATTACAGAGACATAGCCGGGTGCGCAGCCTAGTGACACCGGTCTGCGCCGGCGACCTTCAACTTCAACATTTATGCAACAAGCTCGTGTCTTCCGAATAATTTATTACTTTATTGTAATTCCTAAGGAATCGCCGAATTTAGATTTTTTCGATTCAATTCTAATTGACAGCATATATGTGTTCGTTTAAAAATAAATAAAATTGAAGTACATAACCGAATTTAATTTCACTCTACAATACGATCTTTGATTATAAATGTATTGCTAAAAGCTAGGACATGGGTAAAAGTTAGAAGCTGACAGCAATCAGGAACTGGTTAATACAAAAGATAACAACATTTAAGACACAAATATCTCAGCTGGCGTTGTTCCAGAACATTCTAAACATATACATATCTATAAAATTTATGACTACAAGTCATTCATGTACTCGTATATAAAAGGTATCATTGACACTTTTGCAAATTTAAATCTTGGTTAATATATTATGATCATACTAATATTATAAATGCGAAAGTTTACATGGATGGATGTTTGTTTGAGTTTATAGGCTAAACGGCTGAACGGATTTCTATGAAATTTGGTATAGAGGATATTCTGGAAGAACACATAGGGTACCTCCTTTTTGTTTTTTTAATTCCACGCGAACGGTGTCGCGGGTGAAAGCTAGTAATAAAATAAACTTCACTAGAAAATTTTACATCGCTTTCGTATAAAAAAGTCTATTTAAACTTAAAACATAGCTTTTGGCTTAACATTTAAGGCAACGTGTATCCAAATATGCTATACAAATCCGTATTAAATTAAGATAAATGAATACTCGATGCGTAACCTGGGTCAGGGTCAACCTCGCAGGTAAACAAAACCTAAATTATTATCTGTGTGGCAATTCTTAGTGGGCGACAAATCAAAAAGGGAGATCCTTTTAACAACTTAAGAGCGGGCCACACCTTTGACCAAATTTACGCTAAACTGTGATGCGATTGTCTCTTGTTTTCAACCGTTTAGTTGCACAGCTAAAATTCCGAGTAGTGTGCCCACTTCCATATAAGCTCATAGGAATCAAAGCGGACTAAACAGTTGTGCGATAGTTCAGTCAAGGTGTGCGCGCGTTTAAAAACTATCACTTTTGACGCATTAATAACATTGAAAGATTTTCTTTATGTTACATAGTTTTATTAAAAAAAGACTTAAACGCGTTAAAAGGAAGATATCTACTTTTTACTATCATGTGCCACTAAATGTTTATTTTTTAGAACGTCTAGATAGAAGACAAAATAAGCCCATTTTATAGGAACTGGAAAAAATCACAACCATTAAAGGTCATTTAATAACATGATCGAATACATGAATTCTTTAATCTGTGGGTTGTTTTCAACAAAAATCGGTGACAAATGTTATAAATAAAATTATTGTTACAAGGTAAACCGTTACATAAAAGGATCAAATTAATTTAATATTTTCCTTGTTCTTTAAGAATCGCAAAAAAAACTAACATAAACCAACAACCTTCGTTTGACGACCAGTTTGTGAGAGTGCAAAAATTGCTCACCCATCTCACAATGTGTCATCACCGGGCAGACAGATTGCAAAATTAAAAGCCAAGCAAATTGGCAATTCGTTAAACGAGAAAGCAATATGTATAGCAGTGCCTTGTAACGTGTTTTTGAAATATCTGACCTCTTACCTGAAGCATTACCATTCGCATGTGAAATTAATAACAATTAAAGTCAAACTGTGAGAAATAACTCTGTAAATAGATTCCAATCGTGTCTTAATAAATACAATAAAATTTAAATAAAAATACTTCAAAACATATTTCGTACCAACACAGTGTGCTCTGTAATATATTTGTATATCTCTGAATTGAATCGACACGATTTTAAACAATTATCGATCGTTAAGTCTTCTTCGAATAATATAAAAAAGAAACGATTAAATAACCTCTGCTTAAAATGTTTAAACGTAACGAATAGCCACGCATCATACGTCAGACAATCCTCCTCGCACAAGGTAAGAGAAAGCATAACATTTGCACCTCAGGAGAAGAAATGCCAAGTTGCATCAAGGTGTGATGTAAATCCCCCGAGGACCCCGCGCATTATTAAACCTATCCAAAGTTCACATAATAGCGATACAAGAATGTTGGTTGGTTTGTTAAACTATCCTTTTTTATGTATTTGAAGTACGGAAAAGAATCTTTCCAATAATTTAAGTACTGCAACTATACACAAACATAGTTTCATTTTAATTTTCCCATGCGATGTTTTACTTCGTTTGCATACTAAATTGTAACTAAGGTAATAAAACTCAAGTATGGAAAACAGTTAGTAATATGTGCAAAGTCACAGCAGTAGCTAGTCTTTCAAATGTTGATCGAAGTCATCTTTCATAAGTCTATTGTATACAAAAGCTTAGAAAACAGCAATGATTAATGATTGGAAGAAACCACCTACAGCTTAGTAATAAATAAAACGTCTAAGTTAGATAAGATTGTTACAAAATTTAGCCGACGCTTACAATCAATTGTGGTCAAATATGTCAAAAAGGCGCCTCAAGCTAGCACATTAGTTAAAACGTTAACTGCGGCAAGTAAAATTATAATTCTTCATCTGATGCGGGCTAAAATGCGCCCCCAATGATATTTCTTCCAGTGCGTGGCAGGTCTTTCTAAACCCACCAGCACTAGGATAGATTAATTGGTTATAAATTTGTAGAAACATAATGTAAACATTTTATGTAATGTAATGTAATGTATACACCTGAGATAATCGTTTCGCACTACCGAGAGGGACGTAGTTTTCTTCGTCCGCACCAGCTAAAGTACCTCTGCAGGTCGATATCAGCCTGTTACGCAGTGAACGTGTTAACACGGTAAAATTTGCCTGTTCCTAAAATACTAAAATAAAATTGAATTCACGAGGCGTTATTGAACGAGGTAGTTACTTTTATATAATCATATTTTCATTACATCTTCATTGGAATAAAAAAGATGACGATTGTTTGGAAATGACTGAATTGGAATGTACCGGAACTGCGGCAAAATGACGAATTTCAAATAGAGGTTAGTTCATCAGTGAAAACTGACGTTTATTGCAATACAATATGTATTGTTCGCATTTCCTGCAGATGGCCGAGGTCGCTCGGTGCCTCTTCTAAAATGTCACTCACAAGCTCATGGTCAATTCACACTTATTGGTAAAACTTACACTAATAAAGTTAATCAATTTTTTAAATTGATAATCATCGGCTGGATGTTTTTTTTAATTTAATGTGGTTTCTATGTGTGAACATTTGATTTATTTTAACGAAATCTCTTTATAAAAATAATTTAATTACGAGTATAAAGTATAAATAAAATAAAAAATAACATAACAGTGTTTCATGTGAGTTAGAACGACGTGTGATCTCAGCGCAGAGCTATTTGATATTCAACATTCAACAGTGACAGGTTATCAAATACAAATTTCCTATTTGATGTATGTAATTAACCTCACATATATCAATTTAATTGACGTCAAAGGACAACGATTACAAGGATAAAAACCTCGTTATGGATGTAAAATTCGTACAAAAACTGACGCAATAAACATCGCTTCTATAGTTATGTTACTCGTATTAAAACATGTTCAAACTTGTT